TTTATAATCATTGGCACGGACTGCTAAAAGTAAAATAAGCTAAAGGGGGGGGGATTCATGACAGCAGAAAATGAGGTGAGGGGAGGGGGGGGGGCATTTTTGGTCAAATTTTAGCTGACGTCATTTGTGAACGGTCCTTAATGTTCTGGACCGGTCTGCAAGATCATCAAGCTTTAGCCTACGGAAAATCTCTGTAAGTTGTTGGATAACCTTGACTGGAGTATTAGAAACAGGCCGCACCCTGTGCAAACTCTCCAAGAATTAAGGCTCCACTTCACAGTCGCAAGGAAAGCCAGGGGATTCCTCAGGCAACCTTAAAAGGACATTACATTTTTGTAATTCAGTCAGTGAACAAACGGGTTGTAGCAGCAGTCAAGCTCGAAGAGGCCACGCGCAATAGCCTACTGAGTAAACTCTGATTCTGTAATTATGGTCTTTGTGAATTAAATTACCTCCCTTGAATAGAGAAAGACATTGAACCAATTTTCTATGCCCCATTAGCAGAAAATGAATGAAGTTCATGTGTGTACCAAATTTCACCTGGCTATGCGGATTAGTGATTGTGTTATTGTACTTTGTTGTTAAAAACGCGGATGTGATCTATCTACCTTTCCAACGCGGTATACTGTAGTCTAGTAGGCCTACTACACATGCTAAATGAATTATAATAAGGTCGTCTTTTAGCAGGATAATAACACCCCTCTCCACCCAACTTGTGTTTTTCCCCAAAAAAATTACCCCCTCCACGCGTCCTCTTCCAAAATAGGTCTAAATAAACACTCACTCACACTACACGCACCAACACACACACACACACACACACACACACACACACACACACACACACACACACACACACACACACACACACACACACACACCCAACCCATCGTCGGTTTCTTAGCCAATACAAATTCATCCATTGAAATACATACACCTGCACAAAATGAAAGATGCTAAAGAAAATTAATGATCTAATTCAAAACATGCTGTGTCAGCAACGAAGTACTGAATGGTCTCTAGAGATGTGACTGTGACGATCACACTACATGTAGGCTACTCGCTTCGAGATTTCGTCTTCTGATCTTTTTTGACCAGGCACAGTGCACATCTCGTTAGCTTTTGAGACTGAGGAGATGCGTCATTTGGCTTTGGCCTGGACCTTTTTCTCTGACTTTGGATGTGGACAGATAGCACTTGAGTAGAATAGGTCTCAGAGATTGAAGCACAGAGTCAGTGTTTTGTTTGATTGGTTGTATGTAGAGGCTATTGAGTGCCTTGCGATCTGTTGGAAAACCAGCTGTCCTGACAATGCCATGTTGAAGAGCTGCCTGTTATCAGCGTATGAAAGCGTGTTATTGCGGAGCCTGGCCTTCATTTCGTATCGTGTTTGACAGAAAAAGCATGATCCTTTTGTACCGTTGCATCTACACCACCTTTGCTTTTCTTGTAATGCGGGACAATTTCAAGCTTCCCGGTGTACTCAGATCTTTTAGGGGCGGAGTGCATTGAGCTGAGGAGAAAGACATTCTTTTTTTCTTTCTCGCTCGCTGGAACCAGCTGTTCCTTCATAAGTGATGTTCTGTACAAGGTGGCAGTTTTTAGCTAAGTTGGTGTGGAGGAAATCCCTAACTTTGCGGATGGGAGCGAACTGTCCCTGGCTCGTCGTTGTGTGCTGATTATTTGTCTTCAAAAGAGATATGATTTGTTTGTTTGTTTTTGTAAAGTGTTTTACGGCGCTCGCAACTGCATAAGGTCATAGAAGCGCGCGGGACACACCAAATATTTTCAGTTGGTAGGAAATTTTGAATTTTGCCCAGGTGGCGGCCGAAGCCTACTCTTATCGATTTTAGACCATCAAGGGATCTTTAACGTGCGCACATTTCACACGGGCCCTCGGAGATTTTTCGCCCTTGTCCGAGAAGGCTAGGTGTAGATCTTTCCTACCAGAAGATCAGGGGTGTGGCAGAAAGACAGCAGTAAGGAGGAGTCAAGGAGTAGCAGTAGAAA